TATATAATAAAACCCAAAATAAATACTACAATTAAAATCAAATTTCAATTTTTTTGTTCAATTCTAAGCAACATTAGTCTCCTTTGGATTTTTTCTTAGTTCAATGACTTGTAATTGTGCTCTTTTATTCTTAAATTTGAAAAAAAAATTATTATTTGAATTAGAATTATGATAAATACTTTAAAAACAAATTGAGTAGTAAAACATGTAAAAAGGAAAAAAAAAAAAAAAGAAATTCCCAATGTTGAACCCGGTTTGGAATACACAATCAACTTATTAAATTAAGTTAAATAGCAAAAAAAATATTCAGTGGAGCGTGCACGGCACGCGGAGCGTTCGGCTATTATTAGGGCCAAATAATCGGCCAGGAAGGAGAATCCAATGTTTCTAGCCGAGTTTTTTCTTTAAAAGTCGGCGACTCTGCCGCAAATAGGCTATTGTATTTCTTTTGGCCAATACAAATACTGTGTCGTTTAGTGATGCAACTGTGTTGAACTTTTTTTTTTTTAATGTCCATTTCGTTAACTAATATTTCTAAACCATTAATCTAATTTCTTTTTGGTGCATAGCTACTACCTTAATTTTGTCTATAGCAACCCATACTATGTAAGGATGGAAAAAAAGTAAAAAAAAAATAAATAAATTAAATATTTACATTTAATGAATTATTGATTAATAGCATATAATTAGGTTTTTTTACTCGTGTTTTACATGATATTTTAAAAATTTTATTTAAAAATATTCCGGTAATTAATATATATACATATATATAATATTTTTTTAAATTTGATTTTTTTTTTAAAATGACCCATATGCTATTTCATTGGAATAAAAATTAAAAAGAAAAAATAAAATAAAATTTTATAAAATGTAAAAAATTAAAGTAACAGTCATATTGTTATGGTGGCTACTGTAGTTTTTATTTATGATTTGTAAGTGTTTATCCATTGTTATGTGATTTTCTTTATTCAGATCAATTGTTAAACAAGTACAGAAGAGCATCCTCTTATCTTCATGGTAATTTCTCATTGTTATTAATATTTTTTAATGCATGAATTTTTCTATTTTAATAGATTGATGTTGTTGGCTATTTTGATTCTAGTATTTTGATCCTACTGTATCAATTATTTTTCTTTCAATATAATTTTTTAGATGAAATCCATGCTCTTTTGTTTAGTCATATCAAATAAGATGGGCTTTAAGAGGAAAAAATGTTGTTTGTTTAGAGCAATGCAACACATAACCCCCATATGAACATACAATTTGATCTACATATTCATTGCCTTAGAAATTATATCATTACAACTATCATAGATTAATAAAACCAAATTTAGTTGATTTATATAATTTACTTTAAGAGATGACTTTTAATAAGTTTCGAATTTAAATCTCAATATCTACAATATTTTTTTTTTATTATCAAATTACGACTTTTTGTATAAAAAGTATCATAGATTAATATATACATTATATTCAAAACTTAAAGAACTAAAATGAACATAAAAACCCATTGCATAATAGGCGCATCTCTTTTATATATATATATATATTGTGTAGGGATTCACTTGCACTAATATAAATATTATATAATGTTTTTATTTTTAAATCAAAATTAAATTTATAACACTTATATTTAGTTATTTTAATCCAACGAATAAAAAATATGTAATACTTACATTAACATAAGTGGATTCTTTTATTTATTTATTTATTAATTATTAAAGCAATAAACAACAAACCACACTCTCGCATGTGAACAAGCCAAGTTTTTCCTTTGATTTGAACCTTTCACAAATCCCAATTTGCATATAATAAAACTCCAATTAAACAAGCATTCATTTGCCTCAAGAATCTCAATCTAACAATAAAATAAAATAACTAATAATAATCAAGTCTTAATTCCCATGGATTAAAACAAAAGAACCATTAATTCTTTATTCTTAATTGAAATCTCTTTTTGGCCAAAGTGGGGAAAGTGTGCAACATTATTGAAAATGTGAAATAACTTGTCGATGGCAAATAGAGTTCCAACTTCTTTATTTTCCTCAAAACAATAACTTATGTCCTTTGTAGTTTATGAAACTTTGGAGTTATTATGCACATAATTTGATGAAATATATGTTAAACATTAACATGAAAATGAAATTATGTGAATTTTTAATGAAAATTTTCTTATACATATGAAAAAGAAGAAATTTTCATTTTATATTTCATTGGTCATAAAAAATGTGAAATTCATTGAGTTAATTTCTACTTACTTACTAGTAAAAAAGTTTGTGTTTTAGGCTTCGTTTAGCATTACTATTAATAGTAGCTTTTGCTTTTGAAAATTGTTTTTGAATTACATGTAATGCTAAACCACAAAAGAAATTAGCCTTTTAGTTTAAAAACTTGATTTTCCACCTCAAACAAAAATGCTCTCGAAAAAGTTTTTTGCTGTGAAAAATTGTGTTTGAAATGAAAAATGACTTTATTATTCCTATATTTTATATATTATATATATATATATATTTAGACATTTCAATTACTCACAATAATATTAAATACTTAAAATTTTTAACCATATTTTTTTTATTATACTCTTTAAACGAGCTTTTTCTAACCCAAAATTTTTTAAAGCGCAACGGCAATGCTAAACGGCATTAGGCCTTAATTATTCAACTTTAGGTCAAATAGTGATGGAAATGAAGAATTGGGCACAATCTTATACTTAATTAATGTAGAAGAAAATGGAGCCTAATATGCTTTGTAATTGGATTATTGCTGTGGAAATTAGTCCCTTTTGATGTTTTGTTTTTCTTGTTTGTTATTGGTCTATGTTTACAGTTGTTTTGCTATTAAATACAAAAGCAGGACAGACCTTGTTGTTAGCTAAAGGAGAAAGCAGCCAAGTAAAACAATTAATTTGGAAATAGCTTTTTTTTTTTTTTTTGGTTTTATTATGCTTCGTTTTTGAGGAAGAAACGATGGAGTATGCAATATTGAACGCAAAATGAGCAGAGAGAGAGATATCAAAGAAATAGACACAAAGTACACTCGTATTTTGGCCACCTTTTTGACATTTTTTGTCTGATAAGAAAGAGAAGCTCGAATATACTAATCATTAAATAAAAAAGAGAAATGATCTGAATTCGAAATATTTGTTTAGTCTCCTTGAATTTGAATTTTATTGATTGATTGATTTGATTAAAAAAATTAATAATCTGAATTTATTCAACATGAATTCAAATTGATTTAAATTTAAATTGATACAAATCCGAAATAACATGAATTCAAATTAATTCAAATCCAATTAACTTAAAATATTTACTTTAATTAATTTAAATTAAATTAAGAAAATATTAAAAACAAATATTAGATATTATATAATAAAAAATCATTAATAAATTTTTTTATCATAAATAAAGTTAATTTTATATTTAACACAGTATAATTTCATATTAACAAACATTTTAATTTTTATATAATTTAATTATATCTATTTGATTTTAGAAGTTAACGAATTAAAATTAAATAACTTACTTGTTAAACCTAAAATGATCCTTATGCAAAACTTAAATGATTAACTTAAACGATTAAAACCCAAATTGATACGATCCATGATGATCCGATTCGAAATAATCCATTTTAAACTTAACCGAACTTCTACTTATGTATGAGCTCTCCCTCCAAAAATTGAATTTAATATATACAAAAAAATGTCATTGAAATTTGTATTTAATAATACAATCATCATTGCTTCAAAAAAAAAAAAAAGTGGTAACACCATCGTCATTGTATTTTATTTTGATACAAATATTCATATTCTTGGCATAAAATATATTTTTAGTTCTCATTCTATATATTTTTTCTTCTTCATTGAATTTAGTTTTCATTTTTCTTTTCTCATAGTGTCGGTGTGATAATATCAATAACGAATAAAAGGTAAAAATTTTCTTTTGATTGGATTTTTTATTTGATTATTTATTATTGGTTATAATACTTTTTTTTTTATTAATGAATTATAATACTATGAGACTGATTATATTTTACAAAAGAAAAAAAAAAACTTATAAAATACTATTCATTGATCTATAAAATTGGTCATGACTATGACAGCAAGATATTGGTCATAATTCAATGAGTTTTATGAACTTTTTAGCCTCCATTTATGCTCTAGAAGCTATCTTGAGCATTATCATGTAACAATGGAGTTGTTTGCTGAAGATGGATTATAGTTCATATCTGTAATAGTCGTCTCACACTGTATAGTTACTTTCTTTTTAGCATTAATCAGTAATAGCTATATAGTTATGGTGTTAAATTGAATTTATCTTAAATGTAGATGTTAAAGTCAAAATTATACTATCATTATACATTTGACATTAAATCTCTATGATAACGCTCGGATTTCATTCTAGTTAAAACATAAGGTATCATATTTTTTTACCTTTCAAACCCATCTTATGTTCTCTTACTCTCTTTTGCTTTCACTTCTCTACAACTTTTCAAATTTTTTGGTTTTATTTTTTTTAATAAAAATTAAAGTAGGGAGATTATTTCATTTTAGAGTTAAGATGTGTCGCAAGTCACACGATAGATATACATTTAATAATCAAAGAAAATTCTAGTAGCATGAAGAAACAAAAATTATATAAATAAAAATCCAACCCATGCATGTTGAACCAGAAACAATGCTTCAGTTATATACTTACAAATACAGGAATGAAATCATTTCATCAAAATCAAATCATACTTGAAATATTGCAATTCATTCAATATGTTTGATATACGTTTTGAATTCTCATCCCTACTTTCACATGCATTTTTCTGTTAGCTTAAATATTTATGGTCAAAATTGAAGATTTACCTCAATTTATATTATTTAATATATAGCAATATATGTGGCAAACTTATTCAAATCTTTCTTACAGGAAATGATCAGAATAATATTATTATATGGGAATAATTAACATATTCAAAGGGATTATTTACCTTATATTGCTCTTTAATTAGCGTTAATGGTGTCATCTTTGCTGTTTATATACATCCGTTCCAATTTTCATTTCCTTTTATTTTACAGTAACTTAGTCAAATTATGCAGTTTGTTCTTGCATTTGTTGTGTTTCTTTTGCTTGCTTCATCCTGTTCATGTATCAGGTTGATGCATTGGTCGACGACAGCTTATTCTCTTGAAAATATTGATTATAGTAGTGCTTTTGGAAACGAAATCCTTGGTGAAGGAACAACAACAACAGCTTTTGATGTTATGGATTATGGTGCAGCTGGAAATGGCCAAACAGATGATTCTCAAGTAAAAATCCTTTTCTCTTTCCCTTTTTTTTTTTTTTGGCTGGGTTTTAACTGTCTCTGGTTAAATTGGAAATTTAGGCATTCAACAAAGCTTGGAAAGATGTTTGTGGGGCAAGTACAAATCAAGAAGTTGCAACACTTCAAGTACCTCCAGGGAAAACATTCCTGCTTGGACCAGTTGCTTTTCAGGGTCCATGCATGGCCAACACCATTCATTTTCAGGTTAAACTTCTTCGGGCAACATAGTTTTTTTTTTTTTTTTAATGCTGATAACTCTTTAATTTTTTTCACGTATACATTTCACTAAGAATTGAGAAAAAGGAGAGTTAATTTTATGGGACTGGTTTTGTCAATAGAAAGATATTTGGAACTTTAATTTTACGGTGTAATTTTTTAATTCTACAATCGAGATTAAAAAGCTATTTTATGTTTATTTCTTAATTATTTTTTTTATTTTTTACTACACCTTAAAAAATACGTGTACAAAACTAGTCTTTAAATGAATTGAATGATTTTTTTTATTTATACATGTTATGTATTTTACCATAAATTGTTGAGTTTTCATTTCTTCCTTAAACCCTCTCTCTTGGTTAAAATCTTTTTAATTAAAAACCCCTACATTATTTCTAGAATCTGTAGTTGTTTTGTTTGCTACAGCTTCAAGGGACCCTCATTGCACCCCAAAGCACTTCCTGGGCAGGTGATGCATTGGATACTTGGATTCAATTCTCAGGGATTCACAATCTCATCTTTGATGGAGATGGCAAGATTGACGGCCAGGGTTCCTTTTGGTGGCAATCTTGCAAGAAAAAGACAATTTTTGTAAGCCATTGTTTAATTTTTTTTCTAGGAAAAAAAATTTTAATCTAATAATCGAAATCATATGTTTTCATTTTCAGGGGACTTTTTGGAGCTGCCAGCATCGACCTCGAGTAAGTTTTTCTTTTATTAATTTCAGAAAAACTTCATGGTGATTTATGTAAAACATGATAGAGATTACTATCAGGGTGGATTCAAATGGCATAATTGGGATTGAAAACAATAAAATTTGAAAAAAAAAAATTGTTGGGATACTTTCAAAATTTTTCTCTCGACACCTTTTTCATACATAAAATTAATAAACTTGACAATTATATATATATATATATATATATATATTATAAGTGAATGTTCCGAAAAAAAATCTTGGATTTGTCGCTTGATACTATATAATTTTGTTTAAATTAAACAAATTGGGAGCCTGTGGAAATATCATGGCCAAACTTTCTGTGTCTATCTGTGATTTATATAGGCTCTACATTTTCACAATTGCAATGGTCTTCGATTAGAAGGACTCACCCATCTCAACAGTCCGAGGTCCCATATATCAATAAATGCTTGTCAAGATGTCAGCATCTCTAATCTCAATATTATTGCACCTGAGGACAGCCCAAACACTGATGGAATAGACATTTCTGCTTCTAGCAATGTTAATATTCAAGATTCTCGCATTGGAACTGGTATGAAATCTTTAGTCCAAAACTTTTTGATCCAACATTCAATAGTTTCTGAATTTTTTTTTTTTGCATTTTTGTTCCACCAGGTGATGACTGTGTTGCTATCAATGGTGGCTCATCTTTTATCAACATCACTGGTGTTGACTGTGGACCAGGCCACGGTATCAGGTGTTTGTTCATTGCCATCTTTTCTCTCATTCTTGCAACGGTAATCAATTCGAGTTCGAGTAGTTTGACTTGCTTACTCTAACAGCTGTCTCCATTTGCAGTATTGGGAGCCTTGGAGATGGAGCTTATGATACAGTTCAAGATGTGCATGTAAAAAACTGCAACTTAAAAAATACTCAAAATGGAGTAAGAATCAAGACATTTCAGGTGATTAAAATATCAAATGCAGAAAAGAGACTAATCCATAAACTTTTATTATCAGAATTCAGTTTAGCTCATTTGATGACACTTTATGAATAAAATGTGTAGGATGCATCAGGTTTTGCCACGAATATCTCTTTCGAGCACATTGGCTTTGACAATGTCAGAAACCCCATTATTATTGACCAATTCTATCAAGACAAGAGCAAAAATTCTAAAGAAATATTGGTAATGAATTGCATTTCCTCTTATCCATTTAAATTCAGTTGAAATCCATTGATCTCTTTTACATATTGATATTGCAGAAAGCTGCAGTCATTGAAGTAAGCCATGTTACCTACTCTGATATTCATGGAACTTCAGCCAGTGACCGTGCTATTGATCTGAGCTGCGACGATGTTGTGGGTTGCAGCAACATAGTAATGCACAATATTAACATAACCTCAGCTGTTCCTGGTCAGAATGTCTATGGCTTCTGCAACAATACTCGAGGAACCGCTACTTCAATTCAACCAGAAGTGTCATGCCTATTCTGACGATCTTGGACAATGGACAATATTCATGTGCTCCCCTAGCATCTATTTCATTGTCTGACTAGGTATCTTTAAGGTCAATAATTAAATTACTTCAAATTTTGTTTCTTGTTAATAAATTATTAAATTCTAGTATATATTCTTTTCTATAATCCCTTGCATCTAATTGAATAAATTTATATCACTTTATTTACAAAATGTAATTAATTAGTGAGTATTTTTACTTCTTTTTTCTTTTTTGCAATGTTGTTTGATAAATCATTAAAAAATTTTAGTTGTTTGAAACTTATATGTAAGTATTTTTCATATTTTTTGCTATCAACAAATTTTTCAACACTGATTAAGAAAACATATATTGGTATGATAAAAATCTTGCTCAAAATGATTCAATTTCTGGAAGCCATGTGACATTCACATGAAATTTTTATTTGACAATTGACATGCATAGAGTAATTGGATATTATATTAACAAATTAACAAAAGTACTAAATTTTGAATTAACATGATATGATACATTATTTGAAAATTGATAAAGTAAAATTATACAATTTTTTCATATACAAATTTATATATTTTTACCAAAGTTCAAACAAAAAATGTAATTAACATGTTTAAAAACCATTTATAAATAAACCAACATGCAACATGATAAGTCCATTCAAACTTATATGAACTTTTTATTAATTATTTTTATCATTTGCACCAAATAAAGTCACATCAAATTGATTTAACATCAAGCGTATTCACAAATTGCAACGAACCCTATGATCAGCTCATATAAGTCTCCCCAAACCAACTAAACATTGCTGGAGGAGACACATTCTTAGACACTTTGGCTGTGGCTTCATTAATGGCATAAAACCCCCC